GTTTCCTGTCCGTCCACGCTGCATGCTCGCTCTCGCCAAGCTATTTCCACAATTTCACGTCCGTCCACGCTGCATGCTCGCTGCCTCCCAGCGAAACCCCTCCGAAGCTATTTCCAACGGTTTCCAATCCGACGCTGCATTCTCGCTCCCAGCGGGGCCCTCCCAAGCTATATTCGGCGTCCACGCTGCATGCTCGTTTTCTCCCAGCGCAGCCCCCCCAAGCTATTTCGAACGGTTTCCTTTCTGTCCGTGATGCTTCCCCGCTCCCAATGCCGCAGCTCGCACCAAGCTATTTGCCACGATTTCCTGTCCTTCCACACTGCACGCGCGGTCCCTCCCAGCGCGGCCCCCCAAGCTACTTCCGATCCGTCCGTCCACTCCCTCCTAGCGAAGCATATCGAAGCATCTCCAAGCTATATTTCCACGGATTCCTATCTTTCCGCTGGATGCTCGCTTCCTCCCAGCGCAGCTCCCCTCAAAGCTATTTCCACGGTTTCCTGTCCGTCCACGCTGCTGCATGCTCGCTCCCTCCCAGCAAAGCTCTCCCCAAGCTATTTCCATCCACGCTGCGTTCTCGTTCCGTCCCTGCGGAGCTATCCCCAAGATATTTCTGGGATTTCCTGTCCGTCCACGCTGCATGCTCGCTCTCACCATAATCTATTTCCACAGTTTCCTTTCTGCCCTGCTGCATGCTCGCTGCCTCCCAGCGAAACTTCCTCCAGGTTTCCAACGGTTTCCAGTCTGCCGACGCTCCCAGTGGAGCGCCCTCCAAGCCATTTCCAAAGTTTCCTGCCCCTCCACGTTGCATGCTCGCTCCCTCCCAGCGAAACTCGCCCCAAGCTATTTCCAACCTTTCCCGTCCGTCCACGCTGCATTCTCGCTTCCTCTCTAGCGGAGCTCTCCCGAAGCTATTTCCACAGTCATCTGTTCCTTTCACGCTGCGTAGCGCAGCTCTGCCCAAGCCATTTCCGGTTCGTCCACTCCAGCCAAGCTATTTCCACGGTTTCCTGTCCTTCCACGCTGCGCTCTTTCTGGAGCTCCTCCGAACCTATTGTCGCCGCTTCCTGTCCGTCCACGCTGCATGCTCGCTCCCTCCCAGCGAAGCTCTCCTCAAGAAAATTCCAATGGTTTCCCAATCCATCCAAGCTGCATTCTTGCTCCCTCCCAGCAAAGCCCTCCCCAAGCTATCTCCCATGGTTTCCTGTCTCTCCCGAAGCTATTTCGCACGGCGTCCTGTCCGTCCACGCTTCGGTCTCGCTCCCCCCCATGGCGAGGCAAGCTAAACGAGAACCCAAGCATCGGAGATAATTTGGGGGAAAAAGAATTAAACCCTGAGTTAATTCTGCTAAAATGCACGTCCTAATTTCTTTCTACAGATGACAACAGCTACTACAAAGCAACAGCACAAACCGAGCAACAACCACTTCATCGCGGGAGATGAAAGTGCTAACAATTACAAGAAAATTGTACAGCTAAAGAGAATTAGTTCAACACAATGGTCACGATCGCCAAACAGAGGGCAAATAAAACACATGAAATCGCGAGTTAATTCGCAAACCAAGGGGCCAAACAGAGAAGGAACAAAAAGGAATAAACCCAGAGCCTATTCCAAGACATCCAGTTCAGATCTAAAAGAATTGAAACATGATTTCAAGTGAACCAGAAGCATTAGATGCTTTAATTCTTCGGAACTCCTGTGTTTACCTCCTTTCTTCAAAGGCACCATCGTCCAGTTCTTCTCCGACAATCCCCTGCTCCTGTGTGCCAAGGACGCAAACTGGGGACTAAGGAGGAACAGAGCATGAGGCGGTGATACGAGCAGTACAAGATGATACCCGTACAAGTGTGTTTAGTCCAAGGAAAAATGTGGACACTTGTTGCGAGAAGCGAATTCTCCGTAGCCTCTTTGCATCGTGAGTTGTCCGCTTTCCACAAATGGTAGGAATGCTTGCAATGCTGATCATATGTTTATATGATTTATATGATAAAAACATGATCAAAAACAAAACGGGACTGGGGCACAATTCAAGCAAGATCGGGGGGAGCCGCCAACTGGTTCAACTTAGGTTGGGGGCACACAAGGGCCCTCAGATGAGGATTGCGATGAGGATGGCAGTGATTTTCAAGACAGGACGAAAATATTGGCGATGACGACAGCTACGCCAGCGACAATGGCAAGGCTGGTGGTACAGGAAATGGTGGCAAGAAAAATGAGGATGAAAGGTGATGTTGATGCCCAACGGAAAATAGACGGACAATTTCTAGGAAGGTGATGGCGATGGTGGAGGGTCATCGAGGCTAAGGACTAGAATGATATCCTTCATGTAAGCGCCAATCCCTATGTACGCTCTCCCTCCAACATGTCTCATTCAGGCAGGACATTGCATTAATGCCTGAATACACTCAAGACATACCTCCTCGGACTCCTCGGACCTTGAGCAGAGTCTAATGCGTCTAATGATCAGGACAGATCAAACGAACTTTAACTGTTTTAGGGCTGAGTGCCCCACCGTTGACATATCATATATCAATCTGCGGGGAACTTTGACATCGTGTGAATATCTAAACCTTGTTGACGTTGTTCTTCCTCGTAGGGTGGAGATTACGATGATGGATATTATTTAAGATTATAGTGAGCATGAGGATAAACATAAGAACAAGATGGACGCATATGATATTGACGACTTGACGACGGTGATATGCATAATGGCGATGCAGCGGATGCTGCAGCGGACAAAAAAAGGTTCCAGATACCCAACTTTCAGTGATACAGTGAAGCGATTTTTTTTGCACCAAGGGATACTGTGGGATTCTTTATCTCCGTCGGCTCTTTCCAAGGTCATCTCTTCAACTCACCAAACATGGCCTTGAGTGGCCATGACTCGCGAAGCAAGTTCACCAAATGGGGCGCGACACCACATGCCTCTCCCCAGCCACTGGACAAATCATGCCAACACCGAATCAAGTGAAAGAACAAGCATTGCCACTAGACTGTACAAGCATTGCTACTGTAGGATCTAAGGAAAATAAGACGGGCCCAAGGGTTTGGTACAGCATGATACAGCCATGTGGGAACCTTTTGCAAGTTATTCAAGTGCTGGGAACGAAAACAGCAAAGACTTTGTCACCTCGGCTACTTTCACCCGCAGTTGTCGCAAGGAATCTCCGCCAGAAACCTGCGCCATGCATCTTGTCTTGTGGATATCTATGGATCGTTCTTCACACCGGCAGACACTTCAGACTTTGCAGGAGAGCAGAAGTGAGGACAATATTCACCAGGGTTTACATACCATCGTTCAGGTTCATCCTGTCTTGAAAGTTCTTGACATCCAAGCAGCAGGTTGGCAGGCAGATTTTGGCTATGCATTCTTTTCTATTCTAATAAGGCATGTTTCAAGTGACCCCTATCCGATGATTTGACATCATTTGACTGGAGGATTATTTCGTGCTATGTTGGCGTATTAGCTTAGACATGCCTTTAAGAGTATGTTTCTTCCCTCAATCAAATCAGGGCACTGGCCGAGCCTCACATCACATGCCACTTGCACAGTACAAACTACCTGCGTGCCTTCGGCAGACTCCTGAAATTTCCTGAATGGATTAAATTCGATTCAGTTGAAGCCCGTTGGTGTGACCTCTATTGGTGGTAGCTCCTGCCCTGTGAAGGCCATGGCTGCCCGTAAAGTCAATGTCATTGCGCGAGATGGAGGGCACGGAGGCCACATTAGCTCAGTGACATTATCATTTTCCCGGTGCCATCGTTCATTCAAAGTATCTAAAACCTTCTTTCACACTAGTTTGAAGTTTAAACTTGTTTGAGCAAACAGGCTGGTTCACACCAGTGAAGCACTGACAAGTTTGGCACCTAGACCTAGAGACAGCCTTCTGTATTGACAACATGACCCATCAAACTTCTGACATTCAACATCCATTTGTGCAGGAGCATGCTTCAGTAATGCTGCTCAAGCTTTCACTGAAGGCGTTAGGGCCTAAATTCGCTAGCTGCTGCAGATAGTGCCAACTTTGGGCCAGCTGCAACTTGGTACTCTGAGCTGCGGGATGGATGAATATTGGCATCCAAATCTCTCAGGACTTTATTTCACCTTTTCTGCACAGCGTGGCGGGGTAAAAGCTGCTCTGTGCTCTGAACTCTGCGTGCGCCTATTTTGTCTTGATCATGACATTCATCACTGCTTTCCACGCCAAGCCAAGTTTGAGTGCTTTTCATATTGTCCGACAGGGTCAACGCACAGGGTCGTTCAATCTCAGGTGGCCCCAACAAATAATTACTTGATGATCAATGTGCATGAACACCTTCGTAGCGACACGCAAAAAAACGAGCATGTTCAGGGGAACATGCGTAACGAGTTTCATGAAGTCTCGATCGATCTTTTCCAGTTTTTTCTCTTTTCGTTATTTTCCTTTATCGCAGCAGGAATGCGTTACCAGTCGACGCACCATTGGCTAAGCCATGGCACTGCCGTCCTGCGGTGTCCCTTCTAAAGAATTCATGGAGGGAGGCCAAGACTGCCGCGACTTTAAATCTGTACAAGCTGTATGTCCATGATTCCATGCACGCTGAATTTTTGGTATTTGGAAGTTTGGACAGAATGTGATTGGTAAATTCCAACATCCTTACTGTCTTTTGAATTGTTTCAGACAGAGCGAAGTGAAATCATTTTGCATGCGTGCAGCCGGAAAGAAACTCCAACGACTCAGTAACTACATCCATTTGCATGCATTTACCATATAATGCGCACCGACGCCCTGCAGTTGACGATGCTAGCTGTGGACAAAGGGCTTTAGATACGTACAAAATTGAATGTTTACAATGCTTGAACAATGATTTTGTCGAAGTCTAGTGACATCTAGTGACTGGTATGGGGCGAGCATGCGTTAAAGCCAGTTCAAACTTTACGAGTGTACATTCTGATGAACAGTACAGCACCTTCTGAATCCTTCTGGTTGTTCATAGGCCAAACACCTTGACTTTGATTGTGGAAGGGCAACTGAACACGATCAGCTTGGCGCAGGACTTGAGCTTCCACCTGACTGTTTCCACGCACGAATGCAAGACGTAACAAGTCGGTAACAGGCCGGTAACAAGTCGGCAACAAGTCGGTAACAAGTCGGTCGCAAGTCGGTAACAAGGGCCAATAGCGGCCAACCAGTGGACATGTTGGAGATCTGTGAAGCTTGTCAAGATTTTACAAATCTGCTTGAAAAAACGATGAGCGCAAACATGACATGATGCAACATGCTGTTGGATTCAACAAAGGGGTTGCCTACGCTAGATCACCTTTGCGAAAGTCGGAAGGGCGATTTTCTGGACGGCCAGACCACTAAGCAATATATATATATATGACTTAACTAAATACATGTATAAATAGGTAATAAAATAAATAAATAACAAATATAGATATAAATAAACAGTAAGCAAACAAACAAATACTCCCTGGCAAAATAACATGGACAAAAAAATAACAATTTAGTTTTGGCCCATGGTAATTGAGGGGTGAAACTGGTGCGGGCTGGTCCAGGTTAACCTCAAAAATCACGATTCTGGCAATTTCAGAGCTTAACATGGAACTTGTCACTTTTTACGCGGTATTGGTTGGGAGGTTTTGCCCCTCTAACATGGACGATTAAAAGAAAATCTATGTTGAAAACCAGGTTTGAAATGGTCCATGTTAACCAAAGCAAAATATGCATCTTGTGGTGGTTTGGACATTGAACATGGAACATTCACGAGAGGCCAGGGATAACCAATTATTTGCAACCAGTTGTTTGGACATTTAACATGGTCCATGTTAAACAAAGAAAAAGATGCAGTATTTTGCATTTCTGCAAGTTTTGGTGATTTGGACCATTTGATATGGAACCCTCCAGGGATGACCAATTATTTGCAAATATCTGCAACATGGTTTTCATTTTGCTTGATTTAGGCCTAGAAGCGTTGGAAAGAAACCATTTTACTGAAAAACAGTCTGTCGGGAAGTTTGGTTCCTTAAGTTTTGGGCTTCCAAATTCTCCTCGCTTTGTCGGAGAAAAAAGAAAAAGGCGCAAGATGTTCCATGTTGACCGCCCTTTGTCCCCCAATGTCCCCCAATTCACCGTGGAAATGGCGTTTCTTCCAAAATCTCCAGAGTGCATGGAATTTCCGCAATGGGGTGGCGCCGAAGAGCAGTGCGTTGTGTCTCCACAATGTTGCTCCAGTCGGTGTGAACAAAATCACCCATGTGTCATTGGGCTCATCCACTGGTAGTTGACGATATGCGTCCTCTTGGTCTGTCCCCCAGACCAATGATGTCTTGTGTTTGCCGGCCAGGGCTGAAGCTATGGCCGTGAATGTGATCGGCCTGTGGTTGACCGGGGCGTCAGTGGCCTGAATGGTGTCATTCTGGTGTCCCCGTCTCCAGTCTTCACCTCTGCGGACTTTTTCTCGTCCATCTGCTCCTGTTTGAGTGATGGAGAAGGCCACGCTGGTGACGGGGTGTTCACTGGGTCCTGGCCGAAGGGCTTGTGTGTGCTGAAATTGAGGCGCCGCCACTGTCTTGCACCGCCATGATGTCGGCTCCTTGAACGGGCCCTCCATGCGGTTGGATTTGACATCGTTGGCTATTTCTTGTAGCATTGTGTTCCAGTGAGGATCACACTTGTGTTTCTGGAGCTTCGTCTGAATGTACTCTTCGTTGAGTCTGTGTAGCTGGCTGCGAGAGATGGGATTCTGGTATCTCTCATCTGTCCGTTTGGGCCAACCCCAACCTGGTTGTAGTGTCCCCAGCAATGGGAATCCAACCGTCAGCTCCTGCAAGAGCATGGGGTCGCCCCAGTTGAAGATCTCTGCCAGGCGTTTGATGGCTACCACCTGTATGCATGTGGATGGGCTGCCGTACAACTTCTGGATGTGCGGCTTCAAGTTGTGGTACCACTCGTCCGTGTCAGGCTGAGTATCCTGGACCAGAAGGCGTACTTCATGACAGGCTCTGTGTCTGAGGTCAGTGAGTGCCTGTCTCAGTTCGTGTTGGAGCTGAAGTGTTCGTTCCAAGTGAGGCTCCAGCCGCATCTGTTCCTGGACCGGATCTGGGAGACTCAGTGCCTCCTTCCAGTGGGTCCACATGTCGGTGATCTTCTCAACCCGCTGGCTGTCTGTGGCTGTGGCCGTTGCGGGCCCCAACATGTTGGGCTGTCCCCACCGCTGGGCCAGATATTCCAACGTGGGGAAGTTGGTGTGCTGCTGTGGCTTGGGCACGGTGTTGTGACTTGCAGCATGGGCCGCGCTGGCCTGGAGTAGCAGGATCCAGATCAGCAAGCTCGCCACCCCCACATGCCAGCTGTTGGCCACTGCCTTGTGTCTCTGCTTGTCTGGCATGCTGTTTGTGTATCCCACGGGGATGTGATGTAGTGACTCCTTCGTCTCGATGGGTGGTATCTCGAGCTTGTTGTTCTGGTTGGCCATCAGCACATTCTCGTGGTAGTGCCAGGGTGCATACTGCCTGTTGTCGTTGACCCAACGGCCGTAGGTGGCAGAGTCCATCTTTCCTTTGCTGGACCTTGGGGCTGCTCTGCCCGATTCGGTGGGTGCTGGCGTGGTCAGGCATCGCATGATGTCGCCTTGTGCCCAGCACTCTGGGGCGTTCCAGCCATCAGGTATGTGAACTTCGCTGATGGGCTGTGGGCAGCACACTTTGTGAGTCCCAAAGTGTTTCTTCCATGTCAGGTGTTGCCCCAGCACTTTGGTCACCTGGGGGTCTTCCCAGTCAATGGTCGTCCACCAGACTCTTGGCCTCGAGATCCTCTTGAACTCGGCTGCGTCGAAGATGATGGCCTGGTGCCCGAGCTTGGTCTCGAAGTCTTGAATGTCTCCCCGTCTGTGGGGGATCACGTTCTCGGTGAGCCTGGCTGCTTTGCGTTTTCCGATGAGGGCCACGAGTTTCTTCTGCCACTGAGCGTAGTGCTCGGATTTGATTCCCTCTGTGCCCTCACGGCCTGGACCTTCAGTGATGCGGGAGTAGTCTGGGCACGGCGGTCCCGCACACATGAGGACGATGGCTCTCTCTTCTGGGTCCCATGTGTCAATCAGCTGGATGATGTCATTGATGTCATCCTGCATGAAGTCGCCTCTGTGCTGTGCCTGGTGAGCACAGGATGTGAGGTTGATGCACTCTGGGTCAATCTCCCAGGCGAGGTACCCAACCAGGTGGCACTGTGTCTTTTCCAGCACCAGGTCGAGTGCCAGTTTGGCGCATCCGATGCCATCGAAGACGCTCAGGAGTATCACTGGTGTCTTGGTGTTTGGTGTGGATCGGTCAGGCGGGTCCACTCGCCTCTTCTTGCCACCGCTTGGTGCCGCCCTTGCCATAGTTCTGGTTGGTGCGGTATGGCTCGTTCTTGGGCTGCTTGGTTGGAGCCTGCGGCTTGATCTTGGGCATCGGGGCTGGAATCTCCTTCTGGAGCGCCGCTTGGAGTGAGTGTTGCTCTGTCATGATCATCTTGGTGATTTGGCTGGAGCTCCCGCCTTGCCTCAACTCGAGGCAGAGCTTCCAGTTGGCGTCGAGCCAGTAGGCCTTGATCTGCTCAAGACGTTGTGTCTTCGTCCTGACCAGGCATCGCCACCATGAGATCCACGTTCTCACCTCTGCTTCGCTCCCCATGCGTAGGTAGATCAATGCCCATTCTATGGCCTCCAATGCATCCAGTAGGGACAGTACCCGTTTGGGGCTCCAGTGCACATCGTCGGTGATGTTGACGGTGCCGCATCCCGATGTGAGGTCCAGCGTGACCTTGTTCTTGCTGGTTTCCGCTGCTTGTGCCAGCGGGTTCGGGTTCCCGGCGGCATCGAACACTCTGCTGGACAAGAGTTCATACAGCTGGATGGGAGTGTGCATGCTGTTCTCCATCTCCCACCATATCCTGGCCAGTATCTTTTCACATCCCAGCAGCATTCTCTGCGGGAACTCTCTACGGGTCCCATCAATCTTCTGGTCCTCGTACCTGGCCAAGAGGTCTCTGGTGATGTCAGGCGGCAGCTCTTTCGGTGGCTGCTTTGTGCTGCTCGTGTTGGGCTGGGTTGGCGGTGTCTGGGTCACCGGAGCTGGTGTGCCCGCTGTCTTGTCCAGCTGGTCGTAGCTGATCTTCCACAGGTACCTGATCTGTGCTTTCGCCAGTGGTCCGTCAGCTTCTGGGACCTGGTGATTGACCCCCTCGATGGTGTGCCCGTCCAGGAGGGGTTTGACCAGGATCGCATCGACCTCGTCCCAGTTGGTGGCCATGGATCCCAGGACTCCTATGGAGAGTGCCCTGCGTGCGCGCAGGTAGTCGAGGACGATCCCGTCCACTCCGGCTTCTTCCGCCAGATGAGCCAGGTCGGGGTTCAGGGCTCTCATGGCTGGCGACAGGCTTCTACGAATTGAAAAAAAAAGGAGAAAGGATGATGTGTCCCGGCCTGACCAAACCATTCATGATGAGATCAATCCGACATGTGAAAAAAAAACCAAACAGATAAATCAGTGCAGAGTGAATCAAACATGTGTCTTGGCAGGGCGTCCGAGCTCTACGGAAGCCAGACTGCAGTCGTAAGATAAATCATTCTTGAATGGTGGGGTGCTAGCTCGCTACTCCTATGGATCCCCCTAGCTCGGCGGGATCACATGTGTTAGATTGAATGCATGCTAGCTCGCATGATGATATTGACAAAGGTCACAAAGTCTGTGAATGTCAGTTCATGTATTGATGTCGAGGGATCGTGTTGGCTCACACTATCCCCGAGGTTGCATGATCACACGCTAGTGATGCAACGGTCTGCAATCAGTGCGCTCTCTTTTTCTTGCTGGCTCGGTCAGTCTGACGAGCTGCTGGAGGAGTGGCCACTCGCCTCCCCGGAGGACACTAGTTCCTCGCCTTCGTCTTGAAAGCACTTCCTACATAGGTCGTGGGCCGCCTTGGACCGGGTGAATTTGGATGTGCCGTAGCGTCAACCACATCTTGTGGTCCATGCCATTGGTGGCAGTTCTTTCTCTCTTGGATCTGGTCGGTGTGCTTTCTTGCCCACGACGTAGGGAGGTGTGGTGTTGAGCTCGGCCACCTCTCGTGCCAGCTCGTCACAGCGATGTTGCAGTGACGTGACTGCTTCTTTGACGAACTTCTGTTCGGTCTTGAGCTTCTTCAGTTCAGGTTCAATAGAGGCCTTGGGCTTGCCCCGTTCACGAGCTTCAGACTCAGCATCGACGTCGATGAGTTCCTGCAAAGGACTGTCCTGAATGTACCTCAGGATGGCCTGGGAGCCCCACCGTCCCAGCAGCATGACCAGGGTGGTGTTGAATCCCATCCGGATCAATGCTTGTGAGCCGCTGATCCGCAGGCAATGGCCGTGGAACCGTTCCACTGTTCCTTCGGCCCCTTCCCGTTGTGTCGGGATGTTCGCCTTCTTGAGCACTGCCCGTATGGCGTCGATGGTGTAAACCTTTGACATGTGTGAGTATCCCTCAAAGAAGAGTGGTCCGTCATCTGTTCTCTCATAGGCAGGTGTGGTCAAGATCAATGTGTCGACCATGCAGTGGTACGGGCAGAGCTGCTGTGGCAGTGTCTTGCACATGCACTTGTGGGTCCTCTCCGTGAGTTCACCTTGTGTGCAAGTCTTGGTCGCCGGTAAAGTCCACGACACAGTCATGCGGGCTTCATCCAGCCTCACGTGCCTGCGTAATGTGGCAGACAGTTCAATCTCCCGAGTGAGGAAGAAGGATCCCAAGATCACCATGTTGAAGTCAATGCGGAAGGCCTCTGATTCCTGCGACAGGTCAATGGTGGCCAGGTCTCGAAGGTTAAAGCTGTCCTTCAGTTTCGATGGGCCCTGTCCTCTTTCGATGGACCTGATGACGTCCTTGATGATGATTTCAACGTCCTGGGACAGTGTCCCGTATTGCAGGATGTGCTCTTTGCGAGCTGTGCTGAAGTACAGACTGGCACTCCGATACCCGCCTCTTTTGAAGGAAGCTCCCACTGCCTGTATGAGCTCCGGTGTGAGTGGTAGCGGAGGTAGCTTCCAGGCCGCCGCTATCTGTCTCCATGTCTTCATTCTGCTGGCCTGTGGGCCAGAGTTGGACTGGGAGTATATGTCGTTCTTCAACAACTGTAATGAGGTGTCTCTCTCATTACTGGCGGCTGCTGCCAGGGCTCTGGCCAGTGACCCCCCAGTGCTCGGCTGGGCCACTGGATGGTCCTTCCTGGTGGGTCTGCCTCGACCCGCCCCAGGTAGCTGTGCGCTACAGTGGGATCTCAACTGCCGCCATGTCTCGGCTGGCATGCCCGACACCGGCGGGTCTGCGCCATGTGTTGCCAGCGCTGTTGGCCGGGTCATATCGGCCTCCACTAAGGCCGGGAGCCATGCTTCTGCTCCCGCTGCTTTTGCAGCTTCTACTACGGTCTTAAATGTGTCCATTGAGCCGGAAACCTGTCAACATCCTTAGTCGAAATGCTGAGTGAATGAATGCCCAGAGACTGCAGCCACAAACGACATGTACATCAATATATCACTCAGTAAACAACAGCAAACCAAACCGACACGATTATGATACGTGTAACATGTAATCATGTGCAAGCGCAGAGAAAGACAACTGAATGCAGAAATGATCTGAATGTCGGTTTCTTGCGTTCTCCACTGGATGCATGCTGTCTTTTTGACCTCGAGTGGCATCTCGATTCTCGTGCCAGCCCGGTCGTCTCGACCTAGGGGAAGCTATCTCGTGCAATCTCTGCTTCCGTTCGCACTCGATTGCGGTAGGCGTTGTACGCCTGTTCAAGCGTGGCGGCCGTGCCACTGGATCCCCCTGTCGGGTATATCACAGGTGATGTCATGGGAATCACTGAGTTGCTCTGTTGGAGGAGCTGGTCATTGATGGCGGCATTGATGTTGGTGCTCAGGTCGCTCCTGATCTGCACGAAGAGCTCCGGGACAAAGTCATAGAGGTTCTCCCCCGTGGCGCCCAGAGCGCCTATGCACCTATCCACGGCGTTGGCCTGGATGACATTCAGTTCACACCGCCACTTGGCCACACGGTGAGTGTTGCGGCGGATCTCCTCGATGATGGAGGCCCGGTCGATTTCGGCCACTGTCTCACTGATGACCGCACCCTGTTGCAGGTAATCCTCGTGCCCCACTGCAGTGGCCCCCATGAGCTGCACGGCTTCGATCTCCATCTGATGGAGGAAGGCACACAGGTTGGGCATGTGCAGCCTGGGAATGGGATCGCTCAACTCGACGAACTGGCGCCAAGCCGCGACCCACATCACGACTGCCACTGCCGTCGATGTGATCGGCTCGTCCCCCACAGCAACGGTGCGGAGGTACACATGGTGCCGGCACCGCGCACTGAACAGTGTACCCCACGCCGAAGACATGGCACTTCGGCCGTCTACTTCTGTTCCTTTCTTTTGGCTAATTCGAGCCTTATACCTCCGGCATTCGGCTCGATGCTTTACATGTTTCTGCGCACAAGTTTTGTGCTTCAAAACAATTTTACTGAAAAACGGTCTGTCGGGAAGTTTGGTTCCTTAAGTTTTGGGTTTCCAAATCCTCCTCGCCCCGTCGGATAAAAAAAAATACGGTGCAAGATGTTCCATGTTAACCGCCCTTTGTCCCCCAATTCGCGTTAAAAACGTCGTTTCTTCCACAATCTCCAGGGTGCATGGAATGTCCGCAATGGGGTTTGCCCTTTATGAGACCAAAACCAAAACTTTTACACGAGGAAGTCCTTGCTGAAATGGAAAGCTTGGGTTTCCCCGGTTCTTCTCCCAAATTGTGGTTCCTCCATTTTTGGGCACAAAACTGTGGTTCAAAGGAGGGTCCCCTTCCTGAGACCCAGAAAAGCAATTTTTGAGTAGGAGCGCCCTATTGAAATTGATCCGTTTTGAATGGATGAGTTTTTCTTGGAAAATTGGGTACCGTAGTTGATCGCAAAAACTGTCCCCACTTCGTCGTTGTACAAAATGTTTCATGTTAAGCGTTTTGAGCTTCAATTCCCCTGGGATCAAATTGTTTGAAAGTTGGAACATTTAAAGAGGGAACGGCCTTCCTGGGTTCAGATCTAGGCCTAAGAGTGTTGGAAATGAATCTTGGCCCTTTCAAAACTGAACGGAAAGTGCTGGGTCCCTGAAGTCTTGATTTCTGCTTGGTATCTACTCTGTCAATCAAAAACAAAACATGCGCACGATGTTCCATGTGATCCACCTTTGGGCTGAACCCCACTTCCTGAATCATCATTCTTCACGCAGGGTTGCTGCAGTTGGGCTCATTTTGCTTGATTTAGGCCTAGACGCGTTGGAAAGCAACAATTTTACTGAACATAGATTTATCGGGAAGTTTGGTTCCTTAAGTTTTAGGTTTCTAAATTCTCCTCGCTTCTCGGGATAAAATAAAAGGACCGGATAACCCCACAAGGCAACTTCTTCCAATAACGAGCACCAAATGTTCTAGCGGGGACGGGGAAAGAAGGAAAGACAAAGGAGGTGGTGGAGGATCGAGAAGTAAAACAAAGTTGAGTGTGACAAAGGTGTATGTGAAAGATGGTGTGTGTGACAAAGTTGTGTGTGAAAGATGGTGTGTGTGAACGTTGTGTGTGAAAGAGAGCGTGTGACAAAGTTGTGTGTGAAAGATGGTGTGTAAAAGATGGTGTGTGAAAGATGATGTGTGAAAGATGGTGGTTGACAAAGATGTGTGTGAGAGATGGTGTGTGAGAGATGGTGTGTGAAAGATGGTGTGTGAAAGATGGTGTGTGAAAGTGTGCGTGAAAGATGGTGTGTAAAAGATGGTGTGTGAAAGATGGTGTGTGACAAAGTTGTGTGTGAAAGATGGTGTGTGACAAAGTTGTATGTGAATCTGAAAGACAGATGGTGGGTGACAAAGATGGTGTGTGGAAGATAGATGGCGTGTGAAGAGGAGGCGGCGGAGGAGGCGGAGGAGACGGGATACAGAATCAAAAACAAGAACCCCACACAAAGATGCCATAAGTGCCACGCCTGCCTCGCGAAACGAAGGTAGATGTCACCAAGTGCCACGCTTGCCACGCAAAACGGAAGGTGGATGTCGCCAAGTGCCACTGCCACGCAAAGAGCCGCGGCGTCCACGGCGTCAGCTGGGACCCTGGTACGCCACCAGAGCCCGCCCAGTGCCGTAAGTGCCACGCCTGCCACGTGAAACGAATGTGGATGTGACCAAGTGCCACGCCTGCCACGTGAAACGAAGGTGGATAACGCCAAGTGTCTCGCCTGTCACCTAGTGCCACGCCTGCCACGCAAAGTGAAGGTGGATGTCACCAAGTGCCATGCCTGCCACGCAAAGAGCCGCGGCGTCCACGGCGTCAGCTGGGACCCCGGTGCGCCACCAGAGCCCGCCCAGTGCCGTAAGTGCCACGCCTGCCACTTGAAAACGAATGTTTGATGTGAAACCAAGTGCAAGGTGGATGTCACCAAGTGCCATGCCTGCCACGCAAAGAGCCGCGGCGTCCACGGCGTCAGCTGGGACCCCGGTGCGCCACCAGAGCCCGCCCAGTGCCGTAAGTGCCACGCCTGCCACGTGAAACGAATGTGGATGTGATCAAGTGCCATGCCTGCCACGTGAAACGAAGGTGGATGTCGCCAAGTGCCACGCCTGCCACGCAAAGAGCTGCGGCGCCCACGGCGTGAGCTGAGAACCCGGTGCGCCACCAGAGCCCGCCCAGTGCCGTAAATGCCACGCCTGCCACGTGATGACAACTTCTGTGATGACAAGTTGTGTGAGTTGAGTTGTGTGTGAGCAAGTTGTGTGTGAGTAAGTGGTGTGTTGAGTTGTGTGTGAGCAAGTTGTGTTACCTAGCAGGACCTAGCACCACGCCTGGCAGTTGTGTGATGACAGGTTATGTGTGAGCAAGTTGAATTGTGTGTGAGCAAGTTGTGTGATGACAAGTTGTGTGTTGAGTTGTGTGTGAGCAAGTTGTGTGTGAGTAAGCGGTGTGTTGAGTTGTGTGTGGGCAAGTTGTGTGATGACAAGTTGCGTGAGTTGAGTGCGTGAGCAAGTTGTGTGTGAGTGAGTGGTGTGTTGAGTTGTGTGTGAGCAAGTTGTGTGATGACAAGTTGTGTGAGTTGAGTTGTGTGTGAGCAAGTTGTGTGATGACAATTTGTGTATGAGTAGAGTTGTGTGTGAGCAAGTTGTGTGATAGCAAGTTGTGTGATGACAAGTTGTGTGAGTTGAGTTGTGTGTGAGTAAGTTGTGTGTGAGTAAGTGGTGTGTTGAGTTGTGTGTGAGCAAGTTGTGTGATGACAAGTTGTGTGAGTTGAGTGTGTAAGCAAGTTGTGTGTGAGTAAGTGCTGTGCTGAGTTGTGTGTGAGCAAGTTGTGTGATGACAAGTTGTGTGAGTTGAGTGTGTGAGCAAGTTGTGTGATGACAAGTTGTGTGATGACAAGTTGTGTGAGTTGAGTTGTGCGAGTTGGGTTGTGAGCAAGTTGTGTGAGTTGAGTTGTGTGAGTTGAGTTGTGTGTGAGCAAGTTGTGTGTGAGTAAGTGGTGTGTCGAGTTGTGTGTGAGTAAGTGGTGTGATGACAAGTCGGGAGGAGGGCAGGTGGTCGGGAGGAGGGCGGGAGGAGGAGAAGGAGGAGGCGGCGGGATACAGAACCAAAAACAAGAACCCCACACAAAACGTGGGGGAAAAACAGCAAAACCTGCGGGTCCGTTAACAGCGCCAGTAGCTTAAAGGAACTACCGTTTTCCTTCCTAACAACTTCCCGGCTTGGACAGACCCATGAAAATGCGCTTTTCACCTGCTTCATTTGCACTCTAGACCTTAACTAGTTGAGGGTATACATCTCTATGTCATCAAGAAAGTCTGAAAGAACTCAGGGCAGTACTGAGTGCTGCTTTCGACATGCCTGAAGTCCAACTCTGCCTGAGCGGTTGAGCAAAACGACAGTTGGCATGATTCGATGGAAGTGCAGAGGGCCAGCAATGGACCCCTGCGACATCTCTGCATTTTCCTTTCTATCCACCTCCGCAGCCTAGTTACTGACTCTGAGCCCAAGCCAATCTTGTTGAAGCGGCCGCCAACAACATGACGTTCGACAAGATTCGACAAGTGTTGTTTTATGCTATTTCTATCCAGTAGCGCTGAGATTAAGCCGCAGGAACTTTCAATATCTATCTATCTGAAACCCGGTACAGTACCGGTGGGCTGGCAGTTACTACGGAACCATGAGTAATTAGTTTCTTTGTAATTAGAGGCCCAAGACGGCACCTTGCGGACACTTGTATACTTGTCTTGTGATGAACGCCACTATAGAAATTGAACAAATATTGAGCACTTGATCATGACTTTCGTTGCAAAATGTAGCACATCATATATATATAGTTAGCCTGGAACAAGGCCTTAATGCTCCTGCAGGTGTGCTGCACCTTTGCCAGTGTCCCATTACGGAAACAGCATCAGTGACAGGGTTCGCCCACCAAAGCTTCTTCGGATTGCTGCGCTATATCTGTAGCATGTTTCTTGATGCTTCTTGCATATCGCATTTTCTCTACCAAGATGCGTGGTACTCGTTGCAGCATTGCTGCCTGTCGAAAGGCGGGCAGAAGTTGAACAACTGAAAGCCTCAAAGGGGGGCCCAAGGCTCAAACTCTGAGGCCTCAGAGGAAACCTGCTCACATCTCTGCAACTTTCTGCACGTCAAACTCCAAAGGATTGCTGGCGGCAAATATCACGAAAAAACGAAACATCTTGCCTGGGCTAGCGGTTGGCCTCAGCTGCTTTCGAAATGGATGGACGCTCGCCACGTGTTCTTGCAAGTTTAGAAACAATCTTGAGAACATCCGACAAACATTCAGATTTGATCAGGGCATGCTTTGTCATCATTTGCCTGCTCCATGAAAGAATACTGATAGTTCGATCGATTGATAGAATACCAGTAGTGCCGCACAAGGCGGTGGCGGAAGTTTCAGAATAGGAAACCTATAGGAGAGCTTGGTTGTTGTGAATCACGGATGGCAGAGCGAATCCACTGATGGACTGAAAGGTGGTTGGAGTTGTGTTTTTTGGAGTGGTTGCAACGGTTGCAGTGGTCACCTGGTCGGTCACTTCACCCACAACTGCTGGATGTAGTGTGGTGTAATGCAGCTGTAGCTGTAGTTGTAGCGTGGTGGAGTTGTAGTTGTAGTTGTGGTGTTGTGTAGTGTAGTGCAATGTAAAGTAGTTATAGTTGTAGTTGTAATAGTTAGTGTAGTGTAGTGTAGTGTAGTGTAGTTGTAGTTGTAGTTGTAGTTGTAGTAGCGGAGTGGAGTGTAATGTAGTGGTAGCTGTAGTTGAAACTGCGACAAAACCCTCACGTTTTTCTGATTTTTGACCAGGTGCACAATCCCTTGCACCTGCCAGGTAAAACGACATCTGAACGTCCAAAAGCGGTCCGAACATGTAGTGTTAATTAAACATTTTGACTTGGAAATGTGCTTCGCGCCACAACAGCGTGCGCTTTTTCGACATCTCAACTTCAAAAAGTGCTCCGAACCTTGTGTGTTTCGTGCATTTTGACTTGGAAATGTGCTTCGCGCCACAACTGCGTCACCTTTTTCAACATCTCAACTTCCAAAAGTGGTCCGAGACCGTCAGTTTTTAACACTTTTGACTTGGAAATGTGCTTCGCGCCACAACGGCGTGCACTTTTTCGACGTCTCAACTTCAAAAAGTGCTCTGAACCTGGTGTGCTTTGTACATTTTGACTTGGACATGTGCTTCGCGCCGCAGCATCAACTTCCAAAAGTGAGGTGTTTTGTGCATTTTGACTTGGAGATGTGCTTCGTGCCACAGCGGCGTGCACTTTTTCGACACCTCAACTTCCAAAAGTGGTCCGAGAATGTACTTTGTACATTTTGACTTGGAAATGTGCTTCGCGCCACAACCGCGTACAACTTTTCATCTCTCATCTGACCACATGGCTCCGCACCCGCCGCTTTAGCGAGCCTACTTTTCAACCCTCCGGAGCCACAAATCATCGGAAAAACGCAGTGTTTCGTGCGGTTGCTACCTTTTCGCACACCTCTCTCTTCTCTGATCTTCTCTCTTCTGCTCCTCTCTTCTCTGACTCTTCCCACCTCTGCTCTTCCATCTGTCCATATTGTCGGAAGTTTGGCTTCTAAACTTCCTTCGATGATAGAATTAAAATGAAATTGATAGGTTGAGTTAGATTGATAGGGATTGTATGTGTTTGATTCACTACTTCGGTCTGTTTGTATTCACGTCAAGGAACACATCTCGTCCTGCAGTAGCTGCCTCATTTCTCCAGTAGTCCACGGCCATGCGCGCCACCTGTCACTTTTGAAAACTGACTTCCAGCTGGCTACGCTGTCACAAAAGTTGCTTGTTAAAACTCAAGATTCAAATGCTTGATAGTCGTTTGAAAAGCACCCTGAAAGACAGAATGGTTTGAAGCTTGAGAATTTGATCTTGTGGACTTGTGGACTACAATCTCAGTCTCTGTGGGCAGTAGCAGCAAGCATGTCACCCGACACAGCAAAGCAAAGCATCATAATATCTGCCCGATGCAACAGTATACTAGTATACAAGACCCCACGTTTTCTGAATCTAGTTCAGCGATTTCAAGAACAGCAACAAACTAGGCAGCTCAGCCCTCATTTCTCACAACTTCAGCCCTCTCAGCAATCCGAATCCAACAGATTCCCAAAGTCTGGCAATGTCCAACAATGTTCAGATTGTTCGGCAATTTCCAGCATCGGACGATTCTGAGTGCTTGCGACCACAACCGTCTGAGGACCTCACCGCAGATCTGCCCACCAGTTGCTCAGGAGGTACTTGTGGAAGCAGTCGGCCCGGCGCACTGAGCAGTTCAGAAATTAATCAGCCAGGACAAGCCAAACTACTTGAATCACAACCAGAATATAGAACACAATTAATCACACATATGAACAATTAATCACATAGCAAAGCAAAAGAAAATGAGATCTTGAGATCCCCAGATCCCCATTCCGGGCTGATTTTGACAGATTCTCCTGGTTCTTTGCCACAAGGTTTGCATTCGCACTGCTGCAAGTTCACTGAGCAGCATTGTATAATTTTTCTGAAGGGTCAAAACGATCAAGAGTAAAGAACAAATAAGAAAAGCACGTTGCGAAGCCTTAGCGGTGGAAGACTTTTGGGCTGCATCTGGTTCGCAATTCTGAAGATTGCCGCTGGCCTGGACAATCTGTAGAGAACTCTGCTGCCTGGTGGAGGACAATGAAATAAACTTAACATACCGTAAAACATAAGGTATCGGGACAAGTCAGCAGAGAATCATGATGCTGACAATGACAACCTGTACCACCTGGTCACCTGCTTTCTTTAATGCTTCAGGCAGGTGGCTAGGCGGCTTCAACTGCTAAAACAAATTCAATTGTGAAACCAACGGCCGATTCCTTCAGGCTTCAGACCTCTCCCACTTCTTCCGCCAGTTTTGAGGCATTGCGCGGAGTCGGACCTCCTAGCAAAAAAAGAAGCTTGCGCAGCATGGACAAGTCAAGCGAAGCAAATCTTAATTCGCGCAGTGTCCATGATAAGCTAGGTGAGTAGACGACTGGTCAAAACAAGCCGAGCATGCAATTTAGAAATCAAAAGCAAGACATGCCTATTAAGTCCTATTAGCAACACAGAGAAAATGGCAAAGAGAACAGTTGACAGACATAATATGCTAATTGCATCTAATTGCATCTAATTATTGCAACTTCCTGATCATACGTCCGCTGAAATTAACCAGCGCAAGTTGCCTTCACAACTTCTTTGGCCTGCGCCTGACTCGCTTCGTCTGCTTGTGAGCAAACCACACCAGTGCCCATCCTACCTACGCAACAGCGACACCACCAAGTACTCAGCGGAAATCAATTTGAATTCTAGCTTCGAGATGCTTTCAAGTCCGAGAGTAATTTTCTCAACCACCACCGATGTTGACACTCGAAGAAGTGTGCCTATATCGGCTTGATTCCGAGGCATCCTGTCATTGAAAATCTGTGGAAAGGGATGCAGAAACTACAAATCATAAGTACAAGGAGTTCGATGCAGTTTGTGCATCTGCTGTCGCAGCGCACACTCAAAAAGAATCAGAACGAATCACCTTTTCGATCCTTCTCCATGAATTGCCTGTGCCACGTCCTGTTTCACGTCCTATATTATTGCCATGTCTGACCAAAAACAGCTGGATGGCTGACACCCAAAACCACCAATAGTAACAGAACACATGCCCACCCGTCTTGAACCAGTCTCAACTTCTTGAGCTAGCTGTCCATGGTCCAGGATTTGTTTGAACCTGATATAAAGGCACTATCTTCAAATCCCGAACCTGGTTGCCACCCTTGTCTAGTAAACATGCATTTGGTGCTGTTTCAGTTTCTATATGGGGTTCGTAGCCTCAGTTCTTAATGCTATGATATGTCTTGATGATTCTTGATGAGCTTTGCAAGTTCAGCGTTCTACAATGTTGGCCACGTTCATTCCTAGCCATTCTTGAACAGCATAATTATACAATAATATAACATAATCATTCTCGTGACGCGTTGCCGTGCCTGCGACGGTAGCTGGGACCTGGCCAGAAGAAGCTGCGGTGAAGTGGAAAAATGTCAAGCGCAAGCCACTGCGCACAAAACTTGTACAAAAAATCACGTCAATATCAATTTCAATATCCGTATCAATATATGTGTATATATATATCTATTTCAATATGAATACATAAAATATATAACATTTTATAACCTCATAAAAATTGATAATCGAACATCTGGAACGCATATCAAACATGGCAACATCATGCTAGCATAGATAAGAGGCCTCCTGTCCAACAAACTTCTCATTACAGACCTTGTTTGTCCCCGCAAAGCAAACCTGAGAAGGGGGGAACGAAAGCCAGCTCTCATCATGAAAAGCCCTTGCGCACAGCAAAATGCCTCCGTGTAAGACCTTCAACATTGAAATCCTCCAGTTGTAGCGTAGCTCTAACTGCACAGAAAGTTTTGAGGCAGGCATCCTGAAACTCTGTTGGTGGCTTACGTATCTTCAGTATCTCGAGCAGTACATTTTTTCTCCATCTATTATATATAGCCATCCCGTGCGCTCCGGAGAGTCCTGTCCAAGGAAAATAACTGGGCTATTTTTTGGTGACCTTTTGGAAAATAAAATCCTGGTGCCTGACCTTTCTTGCCGGAGTTTACAATCTCAGACGGAAAAAACTTGCATGCACTGATTTCCAGATGCCTGAGGTTTCCAGAAAGGCATGTCTTCCCCTCTGTTATTAATTAGATTCCTGGGTGCCAACCCTCATGCAATGCTCAACAAACCACCCCTCAACATATGCTGTTAATAGACTAATTTCCTGGGACCCAAGGTGTACATATGAATGTTTCGAGCCCGTGGCAGATTCGAATGGGGGCTATCTGAAGACGAACCCAAAACTCAATCGTTTATCGTATGAATCACTTCATTCCCAATTACTTAAGAAAATTTAAAATTAAGAATTAGATGCTTTGGGGCTTACCGCATTTTCACAACCACCCAAATTAAATCACGTGTGAACATATGATGTTGCTAGACCGATTTTCTGGGTCGCGAGGATCACAACTGTAGCAAATAACCCGCGCCTGGACGATATTAAATCGCGGATCCGAACGTTTCCAGCTCACATTTTGTGTTGGTGAAGCTGAACATATGTGTTTGTACCCTTTTGCATGGACAAATGTATTTTCAGCAAAATACACGTGTTTTGCAATTTGGGCGCGCGTTGACACAAAATTCTTGAATTCGTCCCATCATGTCCTATCTATGGATGATCGGCCTGGTGATGCGACTTTTTTCCTGTGTGGGGCCAGCCTTTGAAGATCATCCACAAGTATTTGGCCAAAAAAAGGTCCAGCCCCTTGGATTTTATTTTTGACACCTGCGCCTCGGCCTCTTGAAGTCACTTTTTTGGTTGGTGAAGCTGAACATATGTGTTTGTACCCTTTTGCAAGGACAAATGTATTTTCAGCAGAAAACAAGTGCTTTGGAATTTGGGCGCGCATTGACACAAAATTCTTGAATTCGTCCCATCATGTCCTATCTATGGATGATCGGCCTGGTGATGCGACTTTTTTCCTGTGTGGGGCCAGCCTTTGAAGATCATCCACAAGTATTTGGCCAAAAAAAGGTCCAGCCCCTTGGATTTTATTTTTGACACCTGCGCCTCGGCCTCTTCAAGTCACCTTTTTTTGGTTGGTGAAGCTGAACATATGTGGTTGTACTCTTTTGCAAGGACAAATGTATTTTCAGCAAAATACACGTGTTTTGCAATTTGGGCGCGCGTTGACACAAAATTCTTGAATTCATCCCATCATGTCCTATCTGTGGATGATTGGCCTGGTGATGCGACTTTTTTCCTGCGGGGCCAACCTTTGAAGATCATCCACAAGTATTTGGCCAAAAAAAGGTCCAGCCCCTTGGATTTTATTTTTGACACCTGCGCCTCGGCCTCTTGAAGTCACTTTTTTGGTTGGTGAAGCTGAACATATGTGGTTGTACTCTTTTGCAAGGACAAATGTATTTTCAGCATAAGTGCTTTGGAATTTGGGCGCGCGTTGACACAAAATTCTTGAATTCGTCCCATCATGTCCTATCTATGGATGATCGGCCTGGTGATGCGACTTTTTTCCTGCGGGGCCAACCTTTGAAGATCATCCACAAGTATTCAGCCAAAAAAGGTCGAGCCGCTTGGATTTTATTTTTGACACCTGCGCCTCGGCCTCTTGAAGTCACTTTTTTGGTTGGTGAAGCTGAACATATGTGGTTGTACTCTTTTGCAAAGTCATGTAAAGAACCATACCCCTCAAACAATCATGGGACATTTTTTTCCTGGGGTTTGACGTGCATATATGTTCTAGTGAACTCCCCCCCATGAAAATTATTTTCCTGTGGCCGGACGTTTGTACACCACAAGAAAATAATTTTCAAATATTTTGAACCAAAATTATTTTCCTGGGTTCGAACGGACGCATGGACAAGCATGTGCAAATCGGTGATTTCGAAATTATTAATTTTGATAGTGGACTCCCAGGAAAATAATTTGCATCACCGGATGGCTATTTCTATTTGTTCCGCTGGCTAGAAACCGGACTGGGGGGGAACCGATTCCCTATGCCTGCAATTCTTGCGGGTAACGCCTTCAAAACTGGAGTTGTCCAGTTGCAGCAAACCCGCACGTACTCCAGCGGTCGCCTGCCGCCTAAAACTCTGTTGGTCAGCTACGTATCTCTAGTCTCTTAAGCAAAATATCTCGCTCTATCGATTTCTCTCACTGGCTACTTAGCTCACCCGCGAAACCCAAGAGCGAGGGGGAATCGATACCCTACCGCAGCCAATTTCCAGCGCGTAACACCTTCAAAATTAAAGTTCTTAAAAGGAACGCGCCGTTCTTGGCGTAACATAAGTTCAACATGGCTGGAAGATGGCCCCAACATATCCTCCAAGAGCCTAACACGGATCAACATAGGCCCAACATAGGCTCCATACCCGCCCAACATGGGCCTGACATGATCCAAAAACGGCGTGTTCCTTCTGGGCCGGGTAAATGCTAAAAAAGGAACACGCCGTTCTTGGCTTAACATAAGCTCAACATGGCACGAATATGGCCCCAACATAGCGTCTAAGAGCCCAACATGGTCCTAACACGGCTTAACATGACCGTGATCTAAGCATGCAGACTCTAGATTTGGTTCTTGGTATCTGCTTCCATATCCATTGGTACGCCGCGCGATGATAGTGTTCTGTACTTAGCAAAAGTATCTGCCACGGCCCATTTATTTTTCCACGATCCCAGATGATCCCAGTTGTATCAACGTTAATGCTAAGGAGAAGCGGCAGAATCAAAGCCGACCTTGAAGAACGCATGCTTAACAGATTTCATATTTTGTCAAGAAAAAGATTACCGATGCATTGAAAAGGAGATGCAGCAGTCTAACAGAACTCTAACAGAGCAGGACCTTTCCTTTTGGCCTTTGGCAGCTCTGCTGTGGAATAGTGTCAATGTCACATACGGTATCTTTTGCGTACCGTGGGCCGTCACGTCATCATCTGATGTTCGTTGTCCTCACCATATGCGGGCGCCTTTATCCCCTTGTCCATGTCTCCATCTCACATCCAGCTCTCTAACTGTCATCCGCTTGTAGCCAAAGACAGATGACATGGCGGTCCACGTTCAGCAAACCAGTTCGCATTTGCCGCTGTCTCTTAAAGTGCAGCCTGGATAGTAGCCGCCCGTCTCCACGGCCCCTTCTCCCACTCAAAGTCTGCAAGCATAACTACCAACTGCCAGAGCAAAAAAAACACTCTCCCAAACAGGGGGAATGGCAAAGCTCTATGTCACCTTGTCATTGAAGCTTGCTGCCAACAAAGTTCTTTGACCTCTGTCCATCTATCTATCTATCTATCTATCTAAATCAATCTATCTATCTATCTAATCTAATCTGATCTGATCTAAATCGATCTAAATCTATCTAAATCTATCTACATCTATCTAAATCTATCCAAATCTACCTAAATCTATCTATATATCTATCTATCTAACTATCTATCTAAATCTATCTATCTATCTATCTAATCTGATCTGATCTAATCTAATCTATCTATCTAACCTATCTATCTTTCTAACCTATCTATCTTTCTAACCAATCTATCTTCCTATCTATCTATCTAAATCTATCTAAATCTATCTAAATCTATCTAAGTCTATCTAAATCTATCTAAATCTATCTAAATCTATCTAAATCTATCTAAATCTATCTAAAACTATCTAAATCTATCTAAATCTATCTAAATCTATCTAAATCTATCTATCTATCTATCTACCTACCTACCTAACCTATCTATCTTTCTAACCTATCTATCTTTCTAACCTATCTATCTATCTATCTAAATCTATCTGCATCTATCTAAATCTATCTATCTATCTATCTAATCTGATTTAATCTAATCTAA